CCTTTTTGCTGCCACTTACCTGTTTCCTGCGTGGGCTTTCCCCAGCTGCTACCTTTGCTGTGCAAATGTCATAGGAAGTGAGGCTGCCAAGGGTTCCCCAGCACTGTTAGCAGCACACCAGAAAGCTGTTGGAGGACAAAACTGTTTGCAGAGAGAGAACAGCTCATTGAGAGAAGAGCTTATTTTCCAGCACATTGCTCATTTAGGGTCATGGCAGAGTTAAGGGAAGATCAAGGAGTTGTTCAGAAATGCTCTAGGGCCAGCCCTAATTGCCTGCCTGAACTCAGGAAGTTTAGAGCTTGTTCCATCTGTGAAGTGACAGCCTTCACCTCTGCTTTGTGCAAGTCCAAAATGTGTGGAGAATTGGAGATATTTCTGTTTATTCCTCTTCTGATTTTTATCTTTAAAAAAAAAAACGTGTGGAGAATTGTTCCTTCCAGTTAGAAGGCCCTGTGAAACAGCCAGCAGGGAGCAGAGGCTGTGAAAACTTTTAAGTTTTGGGGATTGATGTGACACAATGGACTTTTCTCAGTGACTTTCTGGTATATGTTTTGTCCCAAATCAGCGTGGGGTGCGTGGACTCCATGACACACCAAACAAAAGACATTCCTATCTGAGGAGATCTGAGAGGCTGATGTTCCCAGGTCTGCAGAGCATTGTGGCCTCTACTGCTTCATCCAGGAGAGTGAGAGTCAGCCACGCTGCAAATATCAGTTTGCCAGGGGCAAGTTTAATGTTAATACTTTTGGACTTGCTTTGGAAGAGGATGCCAGGGGAGCTTGGCCACTGAGCTGGGTCCTGAAACTTGGAAAAGAATCAGAATGCTACCATTGTATTGAAAGTTCAAAATAAATGCTGCGATGACAAAGTATCCCTCTAAGGGACAGGACTGTTGAATGCATAAAAGCTATGCTATAAATTATGGACACCATTTTCCCCATGTGAGTAGAATTCTAAGGTTGGGTTTTTTTTTTGTTAGAAGCATTAAAAAGCTCAGGCTGGGCATGAATTCTTAGCACATCTCTTATCTTGTGTGCCCTTGGAGGAACTGTTATCAGGGCTGCCAGCTCAGCTTCACAGAGCTTATCTGCATCTCCTCAAGTAGCCAGGACTGCATCATTTTACTTCTCTGGCTACAAACAAAGGTTTCTATGCTGCAAACTCAAGGGTGTAGTGCTGAAAGAGGCATTTCCATTCATAAAAAAACAGGTTATGCCACGGTCAACATTAAGATTGAAATTTAACCCCTTTCAGCAAACCACTTAAGCATAAATCCTACCCAGTGGAATAAAGGCACTTGATCTAAGGTGACTGTGGTCTTTTCTGTCTGAGAACCATTCCACTAACTTTTGACATGCTTCAAGGGCATTCAAAGAGATATTTCTGTTTATTCCTCTTCTGATTTTTATCTTTTAAAAAAAAAAATTATACTGCAGCATTCAGAATCAGCCCAGTACAGAAGTCATTTAAAAATTATTTATATCCTTCTACTGCACAACAGTTTGCTATGGGAGAGGAGAAACAAACTCAGTAAAATGAACTGAAGGTCAGCAAACACTCTTCTAGACTGATCTTCAGCCTGAGAATGAGGGACTACTCTGTTGGGTAGGAAAATGAGTTTGATATGGTAACCATACCTGATTCCCAGTAATACTGGGAGGGTATTCTGGTACCTACTATTGGTGGGGAGAGCTGAATGAACAGACTTTGGAAATCATTGCATTTCTGTCTCGTTGTCTGAAATAAAGAATTAGCAGCACAGAGAAAACTGTATCTCAAGCAAAAAAAAAAAAAAACTTTTTTCTTCCTTTTGTATTTTCATTTAGTACATCTCAGATCAAGAATGATGAATATTCCTTTCCAGAAAGGAAAATTCCAGCTGGTAGGAATCCACCTTCATGCTATTTTGACAAGTTTTCTGGATTTTAAGCCTCAGATATTGAAATGTGTAATAAATCTAAATAACGTTGAAGAGCTGTTAAAGAGGAAAGAATAGAGGAGAAAATATTTACTCTGCAATCTTACTTTGCACAGCCACCTCCTGGGCCAGCCTGTGCTTTGTTGCTTATGTTTGCAAGTAAGTTATTCATGTCATGTCAGACACTGAGCAAATCCAGCCCTCCTAAATCTGATCCCTCCACCTGACAATTTAAGTTAATGATTTGCACGACTCCTTTGCTTGCACAGAATAACAACTCACATAGCAATAGTATCTCAGGAGGGGTTTATAAAAATGTGGTACATCCCCGTGATTGGTGTGGCTTTTAGGAAGAGAGTGGCTACTGTAGTCTCTGAAAACCTTTAAAAGCTTTGATTTACATAAGGCTGGATTCACAAAAAATGCCCAGAAGTAGACATTGCCCTGAGAGGCCTTTACACTATGGCATTGTGTCAGTTTGCAGCACAACATAAGGATGTGACTCTTCAATATTTTTGGGCTGGTGGTCACACTGACATCAGTGAGAGTTCAGCATCTATGTTCCACTGGGAATTTGTGGCTTAATTGTTCTGATTTATATTTGTCAGTTGGGGAAAACAGCATTTTTTTTGCAGCATGAGGCTGACATGAATCACATAACACAATGCTAACAGTAACTCTGTGAGCAACTTCAGACACAAGTCACCTACTTATCATAAAACACAATTCTAAGTTAGCTGGGATGAAAGTCACATAAGCACTACTAGTCCAGCAAATTGCATAAATAAACCATTTCCATTGCTCTACACCTGCTTTTTAACTTCATTACACCCTGTAAACCTGCCTTCAATTCCCTGCTCCATTTTTACCCTTGGACTGCTGGAAAAGCAGCTGATTTAACACTACATCTGCACTCAGAACAAGCCCACCTCTTGCTGGGGCGATGGCTGATGACCAGGAACACCACTGGTGCTTTACTGAGCTTACAGACAGTTGCTCTGTAGACTGATAATAAAGCAAAGGATGCTACTCCTGTCTTGATGTTTTGGATGTGCAGGCAGAAAACTCAAACTCTCTCTCCATCACATACATTTCTTTGGAAAGCCATGATAGAAATACAGTGGTAATAGCACAGATCTGAGCCTGGGCATCACTCGGAGGACTGAGTTTCTGTTGTCCTCTGGCACAACCATGCCAGTAGTATCCTTCCTGCCTCTCATGTCTGTCAGGATCTGCTTGTTTCTTGCCTGACATTTGCGGGGTAGTCAGGCTGACATTCTGTTCTGTAGCCTGTATCCCTATACCTGCAAATGTGAGGGGGTCTAGGTCCTTCCAGCAACTAAAATAGCGTTACTGATCTTACTTCACCTGAGTCCACTTCAGAAAGTGCTGAGGACAACTTGCTGTTCTGCTGTGTTACTCTGTCCAACAGCACTATCATGTTTTCTGTTAGACCAAGGAGTGACAAAAGCATCTCTTGACACATAGGAATGCATTTAAAAAACCTGTACAGCCCTTTCATGGAATAAAACAAGAACAAAGTTCATGATATCAATAGGCTGTACAAACAAAGCACATACAAGATAAATAGGAGTCTACTGTGTTCAGAAAAAAAACCCCACAGCTATCTTTCAGGGATAAAATACAACAGCAATATAGTTATTAAGGAAGTTATATGGTTGATATAAGACTATAATATGGAGAAAGTCCAAGTAAGAGAAGTGGTTGTGTAAGCAGACATAGGGGAAGCTATTCTACAGCCACGCGACTATAATGAGATTAAGATACAAGGTTGCGTGATAAGACTCCTAACAAAAATTAATTACAATATAATCAATATACTCAAACAGGGCTTACAAACATCAGTGAATGCAACAAGAAAAAAGTCTGAAGAGCCTATTTATAAAATTCTAAAAATCCCCTAGCCTGAGATACTCATTCCTACTCAATAATTTTGAACCAATCCCCCATAGCACCCATAAGGCCACTTCATTGTTGTTTAAATTCTTTGGAATTTTCCTTCATGATATCATCTCCCCAGAAGTAGAAGTTGGTACAATGAAGCTGTTGATGCTCTAAGAAAGTGCTCATCCCACAAACCAATGTTTTTTTGCTCATTCCTTCAGCTCCTTCTTTGTCACAGAAGGCACTGCTTTGTGATAGCTTCTGTCACTACCTCTCTGGTCGCTTAATATCTAGGAACAAAAGATCTCGTGCTGCTGTTGTGATTATGATCACTAACAAAGAAAACTTGTGTGGACTCAGAGGGGATTGAAGGAATGGTTGACAGACACTAGGTGACAGTAGCTCCCCAGCTTGGGCACCGATTACCATGTTCCTTTTAGATGCCCCAACCTACTTTGAGTCCCAGTTTGCTGGCCACAGAACAAGGTATGACCCTACACTTTAACGGGTGAGGCACGGGCACTGATGCAATCAGGGACAAACCCAGATTTACTGTAGCCGAGTGATCTTTAGAAATCAAGGTTCACTATCAGAAGAGAAAAGGGACCACCCCCTGTCCTCCAAAACAACCAGTACCCCATACACACACACACACCAGTCTCAAGCATCCTGCAAGATGATGCCCCACAACATCAGCTGAATCATTTCACTAACGGAGAACAAAGCAGGAAGGAACTGTACAAAGGTGATCAGGAACAGGTATTAGCAGAAACTTAAATTAAGCTATCAAAACACGGATAGCCTTCCAGGAAGATCTCCACATGGAGCTACAAAAACAGACTAGAACATTGCTTCTCCCACCAGTAAAGAAGCCCAGCATTTAGTCCACAACTGAGAATAAAACATCTAAGGTCTCCCTTCCAACAGGACAGAACTTGCATGAATATGAATGACCTACATTTAGTCAGCACCTGGACTGAAACTAAATTCTACAGAAAAATTTTCCAACAAGATTGCATTAGGGAAATCCCACCACAGGTGGTTACTACATTGTTTCTAACCTTTTTAAGGACACGTGTGTCTACACCGCTGTGCGGCCTGTGGCAAACATTAAAGGAGAGCTCTAGAGTAATCTAGATAATATAAATATTGAAAATAAGTCACTAGGACAACGAAACATGACAACGTTGCTATATTTGTTCATAAGGTCTGTGCGTTACAACAAGCAACACTTTAACTAGGGTGGACAAAGCTCAGTCTGGAAGAGCATGGTATGTTTACCACAGAGATGTACGTTTGCACACAACATGTATTGCTGGAATCTAACATTCACGAGTTACAGATCTTTGATGTCTTTCTGGATGTTCCACAGAGTATCCGCGCTCTTCTTCAGCTGAGCCACCTCATCATCCTTCAGCTTTTGGTTAATGACACTTGTCAACCCAGAGGCACTTAAGACGGCAGGAAGGCTCAAGAAGACATCATTCTTAACACCATACATGCCCTGCCACAAACAAAAAAGAGATCACTCAGACATGAATCCATCACTCCTGATCAGCTCTTGGTTTATATAGAGCAGGAAGCCTTCTGGGCACAGAGCTCAAGACTATTATTTTGCAACCTGCAGAAAGTTCAGTCACGATGTATTTGAGAAAATAACAAGTACGGAGCTGTTTTAGGCCAAGTGATTGGCAATACTGAGGTGGAGATTTCAGAAAGCCCACCTCCAAACCCCTCCTTGTACTTATCTACAGCAAGTGGTGGACAACATTCAAAGACACAAGATTAGGGGAGGTTCTTTTGGCTACTACAGAGGGAGCACTAAGCTCAGCCTGCTAAGAGTCCGTGCTGCACCAGGGGTTACACAGCTGGAACAGACTAGATGCAGCCAGTCACACCAGCTGTAAGAGGGCACCGTCGTGGGGCAGTGGTTCTTGCAACTGCAGCTGGGCCTCCATTGAGTCTTCCATTTTTGCACTGAAACATCATCTTCATGCATCTGCAGGCCACAAATGGCAAGCTCTACGCAAGGGTAGCACAACATTGGGTAGAATGCAGAGAACTTTCAGCTCCGTACTTGTGTGAAGGGCAGGCTACGTCTAGTCTGACTAGATAGAAGATTGCAATAGGAAGCTCCCATTTCAAATTCAAAGTAGCATTCCACAAAGCTTCCTCTGGTCAGCACCTTGCTAATTGAGACTGTAGAGCTTTTCCGTAACGACAATGTGAACTAGAGCATCCCATCAGCCACCACTTCTTACCTTCACCAGCGTTGAGACGGAATGAACCCGGCACAAGTTCTTCAGCATGGTCTCACAGAGGTCAGCAACGCTGAGGCCAATAGCCCAGTTGGTGTAGCCCTTCAGTTTGATCACCTCATAGGCACTATGGAAATATTGAAATAACAGTTGCCTGAAGATGTCTTCAGGACACTGTGTGAATGCCAAGTCTTAAGATGAGTGAATGTTTCCCATTTAAAACATCTGAAACTCCTGTGACACGTTATATAAGTTTTGGAATTAAAATGTCAAAGACAGAGTTACGTATTTCAGCATTAGAGGATAAAGCATGAAGTCTACATTATACCACAGGTATAATAAAGAAGCCCTGCTGTTCTCACAGGATTAGATGAAAAGAAAAATAGCTTCTGTCTGTGGAAGTGTTCTTAGTGTTAAGCAGAAAAAACAGACACCTACAACTGAACAAGTTCTCTATTCAAGTCAGCAGCACAATCAGTCTCAGCACATTTGCAGTAAACATTTAGAGTCAAAGCCATGCACTGCCCACACACATTGTCATTTTTTTTAGCCAACATCTGCATATATTTTATACTATATATATATACACACACACACTTTATACTATATCTGTTATTTGACAGGTGATTTAGCAACATGTATGGTTACCTCTAGACAAGTTTTCCCAAATCAATGAACCAACTCTTCCCCAAATCAACTTCACCATTCTACTCCCAGAAACACACCACCTTTTCTTGCCTCCTTCAAACAAAGTTCACCACTGAAGAAGCTACTTGTCAGAAAACAAGTGCAAGGGGCTGTAAGCACTGCAGAACTGAACTGGGTAGGTTCAGGCTGGATATTAGGAAAAATTTTTTCACTGAAAGGGTTATCAGGCATTGGAATGGGCTGCCCAGGGAGGTGGTTGAGGCACCATCCCTGGAGGTGTTCAAAAGACGGGTTGATGTCGTGCTGGGAGGTATGGTTTAGTGATGATGCTCCTTGTTTGTTGTGTGGGTGACTATTTTTGTCAGTTAGGTTGACGGTTGGACAAGATGATCTTTAAGGTCCCTTCCAACCTAGAAGATTCTGTGATTCTGTGATCTGTTATGCTTGTGTTTGTCTCACTGCAGGGTCATAAAGCTTCCCAACTGAAACCCTGCGTGCATTTCTGTGTTGAAAGCAGTAGTTCCACTTACTCAGGCAACCCTCTCAATACAAGGGTGTGCAAGCTGCAGCAGAACGGGGAGGCAGTGACAAGGAGGCAGACTAGCTCCTTCCAGCATCCCAGATATCCACCTTATTCCTCAAGGCACTGTACCTGTCAACCACTTGCTTGTGGACTTCCTTCCAGTTCTCGGCATCTTTGTCAGTTCCCATGGCAGGATTGAGCTCCTGGAGAGAAACGCCGGCCACGTTAACTCCGCTCCAAACAGCCACTGCAACAGAGAGAGGGATGAAGGGTCAGCAGATCTTCACAACTCCCCCTCCACAGTAACTGGAAAGGGAGTAGGAGTCACCAGGACCACGATAACGTTGGCGGCGTCAACCTCTTAACGCTGTCCGGCTTATTCCCAAGGAGGTCAGAAGGGCTCCTTACCACTGGAGTCACCGTGCTCTCCCAAAATCCAGCCATGGCAGCTGCTGGGGTGGATACCGAGCCTCTCGGACATCAGATAGCGAAATCTTGCTGTGTCTAGATTGCAGCCACTTCCGATCACACGGTGTTTCGGCAGGCCGCTCAGCTTCCATGTGACATAAGTTAATATATCCACTGAAAAGAAGAACATAGAATCATAGAATCAATCATCTAGGTTGGAAGAGACCCTTGGGATCATCGAGTCCAACCATCTCCCCTACTCTACAAAGTCCTCCCCTACACCATGTCCCTCAGCACTGCATCTAAACGGCCCTTAAACACCCAGCCAGGGATGGTGACTCCACCCCCTCCCTGGGCAGCCTGTTCCAATGCCCGACCACTCTTTCGGTGAAAAATTCTTTCCTAATGTTTAGTTTAAACCTCCCCTGTTGGAGCTTGAAGCCATTCCCTCTTGTTCTGTCACCAGTTACCTGGGAGAAGAGACCAGCACCAACTTCTCTACATGCACACTAAGTGACACAAATCCCATACACCCAAAAGAATGCTCCAACAATTAGGTGCTCAGGAGGACTCCAAAGACAGTTGGGCTCACGGATCAGTGTTTTAGGTCTGTATATGCTTTTAAAATATGGACACTATAAGAAGCTCTGAATAAAGAGAGCATCAGGAAGTACAGATTACAGGTGGGGGTCGGTCTCTTCTCTCAAGTCACAGGCGACAGGACGAGAGGAAATGGCCTCAAGTTGCGCCAGGGGAGGTTCAGGCTGGATATTAGGAAAAATTTTTTCACTGAAAGGGTTATCAGGCATTGGAATGGGCTGCCCAGGGAGGTGGTTGAGGCCCCATCCCTGGAGGTGTTCAAAAGACGGGTTGATGTAGTGCTGGGAGGTATGGTTTAGTGATGATGCTCCTTGTTTGTTGTGCAGGTGTCTATTTTTGTCAGTTAAGGTTGATGGTTGGACAAGATGATCTTTAAGGTCCCTTCCAACCTAGAAGATTCTGTGATTCTGTGATATTTGTTTGCATTCTGCCCTTAGCAACTACATGGCAGATGTCCATGCTAACAGAGCTATTGATTTTCAACATTCAGTTTGTAAGTTAGAAGACTGGGAAAACAAAACACTAGTTCTCTGCCAAAGAGAATTCTAGGAGAAGACTGCCTTACCTGGGTTGGAAACCACCAGGATGGTGCAGTTGGGACTATGCTTAACAATCTGAGGAATGATGTGTTTGAAGACGTTCACGTTCCTCTGGACCAGGTTGAGGCGACTCTCCCCCTCTTGCTGACGAACCCCTGCAGTTACTACCACAATCTTGGAGTTGGCTGTGACAGCATAGTCTGCAACACAGCATGGGGAAGAGACACAGGATGCATTAAATAGACTTATCACTAATTTCAAGAGCATTGTGTTCACAGAGAGAGGTCTTATGGGTTAGCTTCTCCACCGTGCATTCATTCAAACCCAAAAAACATGAGACAACATTCAAGCCAGCACCATCTCTTGCACTGTCCTACAACACAGCACGGGGGAGAGACACAGGATGCATTAAAATAGACTTATCACTAATTTCAAGAGCATTGTGTTCATAGAGGTCTTATGGGTTAGCTTCTCCACCGTGCATTCATTCAAACCCAAAAAACATGAGACAACATTCAAGCCAGCACCATCTCTTGCACTGTCCTGATATGCCAATACATAGGCCTTGAAAGGACATTCAGCTACGCCGGGTCTCGTTTCCACTACCCAAATAACAATACTATTTCTTATGCGTCAAAGAGGTACAGGAGTTTCATGAAAAATCAGTTTTACTCAACAAACCCAAACCAGTCAAGTGACCATTATGGATGTAAGACAAAGCCCAGGTTAAGTGTCCCTCCCCTTGTTACAGCGTTCATCCGAAATCTCACCCCAATTCATATATACTTTAACCTTTCAAAAAGCCTTGAGATTTCTTAATAGTACACAACTAATGCTCAACTATCGAGCCAATTCATAAAATGCCAGTATTAAATAAAAGAAACTGAAGTTTACCTTTGTCTGCCACAATCTTGTGAGTGTGAAGGAACAGGCTCCCATGCTGTAGATCCATCTTCTCTCCTTTTAGTTTGTCTTCCAAAACGTCAACCAGAGCAAGCTCATCACAAAGTTCCTGAAGAAAGCCACCAAATTTGGAGGAGACAATCAAGCAGCTAACCTAATTTTAAAGCTACCCCTGTGTTGAGCTATGTTACTTTTTAAAGTGACACGTTACACATCTGAAAGCAGCCCTTCTCCAAAGGTAAACCAGTAGGACAGCACTGTCTTGGTGTTCTGATGTACCCCAGAGCTCATAAAACTCCTTCAGACTCTCTAATGGGGGAGTTTGAAGGCACAGCTAACCCTTTGCTAATAAGGCACTTCACAATTTAGTTATTCAGAAAAGACTTGCATCTTTCAGAGTCATAACAAACTCTCTAAATCTAAAGGCAAAGATGTCTGTTTTAAATATTTAAATATATAACAACACACCACATAATTATCATAGAGATATTCTCTTATAAACGTTCCTTCAACTAATTTATTTCACAAGCTATAAAATGGGAACAGACTTATTTTCCTCAATACTAGAAATATAATTAAGAGGAAACAGCTCCTTTACCAAACTTTCTCTGCTAGAGCTGCTACTTTATATTTACTTTGCAAGGACAGATACACACGTGTTTTTTGTCCAGTCTGGTTAAGTCAGAAGATCATGTCATAGTCTCAGAACAGGAAAACGGTGAAATACAGCAGCACAGGAAAAAGGACTCTGTTAGAATGTAAAGTTTTACTGCCTTTCGACAGAAGTATTTACTACCCTTGTAAATTCTACTATACTTAAAAGCTTGTCATCCAGTAAATTACACCAAGATTCAAGTTACCACTTACCTAGAAAATAGAGGGATCTTCAACCCACTTGAAATGAGTAAAGCTGCTTCTACACTAGTGAAAATATATTACTACAAGCAAGCTTCTTTGTTTACTTTTCTGTAAGAAGCTAGCACTCATTACTTCACATAGAAATATTAGCATCAACAAAACTACTCCAAACAGGCAACAATATGCTGGTTTTTGCAGCAGAAAAATTTATTTTACAGCAGGCATACTTCAGTTTTTCATTTCATTCTCTAGAATCACCTTAAGAGTTTATTGCTTTTCTGCATTGTTTCCTTTCACAGCTGATTTGATCAACTTCTGAACAACAACCTTAAGAGTCTATATCTGCCCTTGGTCTGTTCTCAAAATTGTCTGCAGGGTAAAAGTAAAGTCTCAGTTATTTAAATATTATGAAAAAGTGTCCTTAACCGAAGTCACTGGTGTTAAAAAAAAAAAGAGACTGCGTGCAGATGTGTGATTACGCATGATTTATACATATACAGTCTAACAATATGGGACTTTCTCACTTTAGACCCTGCAACCAATAGTCACCAGACTCAGCAGGTTCAAGGAGCCAGTTCTCACTGACACAGAACAGCACCTGGAGTAGCCCCAGTGACTAATTTCATGAATTTGCATCAGCCCTGCCTGGAGGAGAATTTGTCTCACTATCAGCACACAAGCCTACACACTCACCAAATGAAGCTTAAAATACTCTCATTGGAAACAGCCAACTTGTGACTGTGGAGATTTCTGAAACAGTATGACGACGTTAGTGACCTGTTTCTAACCGAGAGGGAGCTAAAAATAACCAACATGAAAGTTTTAGTGTCATTCAAACGTATACATTAAACACTGCGCCAGTAAACTGAAATTAGCATTATCACACTGTGCAATTCTATGAAATTCGGAGCCATCTAAAACTCAACTGCATCTACATCTTAAAGTATAGGAAATTAAGTAGAAAATTTTACGTCATTGTTTAACAAAAAGACATCTTGGGGAGCCAGCCATCATGCACAAGTCAAAGGCACATCTAATTCAGTGACAAGAATCAGATTCTTTTCTTACAAAAATGTTTTACTGCAGCTTATCCTTAAGAGCTAATAGGAGAGCAGAAGCCTGGTTGAAATAAACTCCTTCATGCCATAATGGAAGCTTGAAAAATTAAAAACAATTTTTTACTCTGGATTTGGTGCATTCAACTCATTAATAGTAAAACTTTGTACCTAGATTTCTGAAAGCACAATTTGATCCTGCTTAGGGCAGCTTATTAAACACAGATGAATGCTGGACTGTTAGTGAAGTTTGCGGTAAGTTCACCTGGCTCCCTCACTGCAATGTTACAGGTTACATTATTCCTTCAAAAACAAATGAGTTCAGACCACAAGAAGCAAACGTTTGCTTGAAAAAAATACAAATAGACACCCACAATGAAATGTCACTGTTTTTTCATTAAATTTCTTCTTTTGTTATGGAGTTTTAAAAACTATTTGTTACTTTCACATCAGTACTTAGCTTCACTGTGGCCTTTTTTTACTGTTTTTCCATGCTCACAAGGCTTATTAGTATCAGCAAGTGAAAACTCTCAAGAATTTTTTTAATTATTAAAACCCCAGTACTTTAAAACATGCATCCTCAAGGTAACAGATGGAGGAAGGATCGCCTTCAAATAAAACACAGCTGATGTAGTAGCTTTATTAGTACCTGCAAGATTCTTTATCTCAGTGAGCTACTTTTAATTAAGTGTATGTGTTTATGCCCTGCAAGAGGCTAGAGTGTATCTGTTTACACCTTCTTTTAAAAAAGAAAAAAAAAGATCTGCAGCTCCCACTTGCCTTCTCAAAAACAGCATGAGAAGAATCAAATTTAAGCCATTCACAACATTCCCTAAAAAGAAGTGCAAAGGATTGCATAATAAGCCTTTGCTTTGCTCAAAATCTACGTTGTGAGATTTGCCAAAAAAACCCAGAAACCACCAACAAGAAAAGTCAGAATAACCTCTAAGTCCAGCCCTCTACTTTTAAACTAGCTAAAACCTCTCTGGAAACAATAAAGCTCTATTTCTAAACAATAAGGGCTTAAGAACAATACAGCCTACCGAAGGGGACAGCAGTTATTATGGCCTCTGTGCATTAAAAGAGCAAAATCAAACATGCGGAGTTTTGATTCCTATCCCGTATTTCACAGAGATCCCTGTCCTGTCTGCATTCTTTGCCCAGCAGAGCTCTCCCACCAAGTAAACTCCAGCTTTGCTGTGGAAGAACAAGGAGAAAGAAAGCAGAGGAAGAGAAGCGGGCCAGGGGCTTTGCCGCATTCCCCCGGCAGTCCCCAAGACAGCTCTGCCGCATGAGGGCTTTATTGCTAAACACAGACGGAAAGGTGACAGAAGAAGGAGAAATGGAATGGGGAGGGGTCCCTGAGTGACCAGTGTAGATCCCTGCTGGCCTACCCGAAATGCTGCCCCCCTGTCCCAACTGTCCCAGCTCCCCACCCTCTGCCCAGACAATGACGGCGCGGGCGCTGGAAAGGCCCGCTGTCCTTGAGCCCTACCTTCACAAGGACGCTGATGGCACAGGCCATCCCAACCTGTCCAACCCCCACAACGGTGATCTTGTTGTTGGGGACCTTGGCTCCCTCAGCAATGGGGGCGATCAGCTTCTCCTTGACGGTGGCCATGGTGTTCTGCCAGGAGAGACGGAGCGACGGTTGGGTTCAAAGCAAGCCGTTGGCAATCAAAGCAGGGCTGGCGGTTGTGGGACTGGTCATAAAACCACCAACCAGTGTGGCCCCAGTCAGACCGCTGGCATCTCCCCGGCTCGTTTCCCCGCGGCTCCCTTCCCTCAGCCCACCCGCGCATCCCTCCCTCCCCCGCCCCGCCAGCCGCGGCCCGCAGAGGGGCCCGGGACGTTACCGGCACCCCCAAGGTCACCCCGCGGGTTTCTGCCGCCATCCCGCCCAAACAACCCTCAGGCACCACAGCCCGGCTCCGGCCAACGGCCTGCCCGCCTCAGCCCTGCTGGGACCCACCGACCGGCCGCCGACGCCCCCGCCCCACACCCCATCCATCCGCCCCGGCAGGGCCGAGGCGCCCGGGGCAGGGGAGAAACGGAAGGGCCTGGCGACCCCGTACCATCCCCCGTCCCGGAGAGGAGTCCCCGCCAGCTCCGCTCCCCCATACCCACCAGCGAGGCTCGGAGCGGGCAGAGAAGGGGAGCGCTGCCGCGAGGCGGGGGACTAACGGCGCTCGAGCAATGAGGGCTCCGCAACGGAAGGGGCGGCGCGGCGGGAAAGGCGGGCCGGCCCCCGCACCCCCCCTCCTCCCGTGCGGGCCCTCGAGCCACTGAGGGGGCGGTGGCCGCCGCGCTCAATCCCCGGCAAGGACGGAGGCTGAAGGGTGCAGGCCGCCCCGCCCCCCGTCCCCCGCTTCCCTTCACTGTCCCCTCGGGAACAATTCACGGCTGGAGCCAGATAGAAAGGCTTTGGCAGGAAGGGACGTGACACCAAACTGGGTGGGAGCGTTGATCTGCCTTGAGGGTCAGAAGGCTCTACAGAGGGACCTGGACAGGCTGGATCAATGGGCCAAGGCCAATGGGATGAGGTTCAATAAGGCCAATTGCCGAGTCCTCCATTTCGGTCACACCAACCCCCTGCAGCGCTACAGGCTGGGGGCAGAGTGGCTGGAGCTGCCCAGCAGAAAAGGACCTGGGGGTGTTGGTGGCCTGTGGGCTGAACAGGAGCCAGCAGTGTGCCCAGGTGGCCAAGATGGCCACCAGCATCCTGGCCTGTGTCAGGAACAGCATGGCCAGCAGGAGCAGGGCAGTGATGGTGCCTCTGGACTGGGCACTGGTGAGGCCTCACCTCGAGGGCTGGGTTCAGTTTGGGCCCCTCACTACAGGAAGGACATTGAGGTGCTGGAGCATGTCCAGAGGAGAGCCACCAAGCTGGGGAGGGGTCTGGAGAACAAGTCCTATGAGGAGAGGCTGAGGGAACTGGGCATGTTGAGTTTGGAGAAGAGGAGGCTGAGGGGAGACCTCATTGCCCTCTACAACTCCCTGAAAGGAGGGTGTCGAGAGGCAGGTGTTGGCCTCTTCTCCCAAGGGAATAATGACAGGAGCAGAGGAAATGGTCTGAAGCTGCAGCAGGGGAGGTTTAGATTAGATCTGAGGAAGAATTACTTTACTGAAAGAGTGGTCAGGCACTGGAACAGCCTGCCCAGGGAGGTGGTGGAGTCACCATCCCTGGAGCCATTTAAGAAACGTGTAGACACGGCTCTTCAGGGCATGCTCTAGTGCCCAAGATTATTGGTTTGTGGTGGGGTGTTGTGTGTGGGGTTGTGGGTGTGGGGGTTTGGTGGGTGGTGGTTTTGGGTTTGTTGTGTGGTGTGTTTTTTTGGTTTGGTTTTTTTTTTTAATGTGGTTGGACTCGATGATCGCAGAGGTCCCTTCCAACCACTAAGATTCTGTGATTCTGTGATTTTGATGCGGTGCCACCAGTGCTCCCCCTCCCCCCTACATGGCACTCTCTCCGGCTCTTTCCCCATGTCCCAGGAGAACATCACTTCAAAACTGTTATCTGTGGGGCCCGTGGGGTGAGCCCCTGGAGCCTGAGGGGAGTTTTGTGCTGTGTTGAAGTGATAAGCGTGTCCATTGCTGTAAGGGGGAAAACAGAGGATGTGAGTGGCCTTTCCTCTGACCGATGGAATACATCTATCCGAGTTTTTTGGGCATACGATTTGCCCCCGCTGCTGCACAGGAAGGAAGTGATTTGGATTTCCTGCAGGACAACTGCATGGGAAATAGGAGAGAATAGCAGAGAATTGCTGCTTAATTTTCTCTTAATGCTGTAACATCACTTCTTTCTAGCTTTCAATGGAGAAAGTAGAGGTAAAATACTGATTTGGACACATTTCCAGTTTCACTGAGAGAAAAAAAGAAAGCTTTAGGTTCCTCATCACACATGATTAACTCTCTCTCAGGAGAGGGAAAACAGAACAGTAGATTCCAGAGTTCTCCCAAATAAGTCACTGGGTTAAACGTGACTAGGCAGAGAGCCTAGCCCTTCCCGTCTAAGACTATGATTACTCTTTTTTGTTGTTGTTGTGGCTAGTTTAAAGTTTTATTGATTATTTTGCCAGGTATTTTGCCAGGGTAGTAACAACTGGATTAATTCCCTCTGGCTCACCAAGCAGCCAAATGCTGGTGCCAGCACGAGAGGTGGCGAGCATGAGTGGTGAGGAAAGGGTGAAACTTGCTTTTCTGGGCAGCGGTACAGATTCATGCTGGCTTTAAATGACAATCCAACCATGACCTGCTTTGCTTCTATGTTGTTTGTTGTTGCTTTTAAAAGCAATTCAGACCATGTAGCATATTTTACAGGAGCTCTTCTAGGCCCTCTTTTAGGTCATACCATGTTTTGCTCATAGTGTTAAAAGCACAGGGTGTTTAATCCCCTCCCTGAAGTGCTTGCTATCTACATAGACAAGGCAGGTGCAGAACGGCAGGAAAAAAGATTATTCCCTCTTCCTCTGCTTAGTTATTTACTTACTTGTTGTTCCAGACGTGGAGGACTGAGGCACAGAGAGGGAAAAAGATCTCCCCAAGGTCACACAGGAAGTCTCTTGGTGACAGGTCACAGTTTCAAAGTTCAATTCTAGTTGGCAACATTGGAATTTTTGATGAAGTGCAGTTTTCCAGAAAAACAAACCCTAGTGTTAAGGGCCACAGTCTAAATAAATTTGCCTAGTAACCTTCATACAATTACAACATTTTTTTGTGTGTGCATTTTAATCACATTTAACTTTTGGTTTGTCTAGAGAGTCTGTAATTAGATAAGTCTGAGATACTCTACAACTTGAATCTGTCACATCATCTTCCCAAAACACGTGAAAGTAGATATGATTTCACTACTGTTTCTTTTTTTGCAAATCTGCAATTAAATCTGATTAGAAACAGAGATCTCACTTGAAAAACTCTATTAATGGAACCCTTTACTACACCTAAATGTTGATGTCCTGATGGCTATGGTCTGGTGATGGCCATAGACCTAAGGTAGTAAACATCACGAAGAATGTAGCTTAGGAAGGAACTGAAAGAATATGGGATATAGGCTGTGGTGGTAGGAGAACATGAGGTAGAGGGTGATCCTATATCACTGACACACCTGGTAGATCAGGTCATTAGGCAGAAAGATGGATATGTCCATTATTTCCCATAACTGTAATGGAGAAACAAGAGTTAGTGGTCCAGTTTTGTACTCTTGATATCCTTGCCTTAGGGTTCCCTCTTCTCCCTGCTGTGCCAGTGTAACACTTGGAAAGTCCTCGTAGGTTCTCTGTCATCATCTTGGTGAAATATAGCCTTAAAGAAAAAAGGAAAGAACATCTGTCCTAAACCATTTTTGTCAAAGATCCTTTTTAATTTCATCTTTAGATTATCAAAGACATTTCTGAAACAGTTCCTACTCCATTATAATCCAGTTTGTACACCATTGATGGATAAATAGAAGTATGTCTTCCACAAGGACCATTCAGCCAATGCTTTCCACATGCAAGCAAAAATATATAGACTTGAAAGTTTGTATGACGTACAGACAGTGATTTTTATCAGTAGATGAATTCCCATACACTGTGGACAATTTCCTTATCTTTGGAAAAGATGCTATATACTATTTGAATCTCCTACGTCTGGACATTGCTTACACCAAATTTTGCTAAAGAACAGATTCATCTCTCCCACTTCCTTCCACCTAGACATTCCCTAGACATGATCCCACAGTTTACCTTGTTAAAAATTATTGCAATTCTGAAGACAGCCCGAATGCATTTTTGCCTGTTGTACAGAAACACACTTCTGCCCGTGCTCTGTGGCACGGTCATAGCATTCCAGCTGCTGCCTTTGAAGCAGATTGCTCCTGTTAAGGGTCAAGGTTGATCGACCAACCTCCTTTTTTGGGAAGTGTCCATTGATATCTTAACTAACCTTTGCCATATTGCACTCTGGACCCATCCTGCTCCCCAGTTCACAGAGCAAGCTTTGTGAAAAATACTGTGAACACAACTGGGCTACCATTTAACACGTTTCCCAGTACTGAGGAATGTTTGGCTCCATCGCTACAGCCAAGTCCCACGTGAAGACTGGGAAGGACACACTTTGCACTGAACCCACTGGGGACAGTTGGCAGAAAGCAGTCAGGCAATGTGGGGGACCATCATAGAATCATAGAATTGTCTACGTTGGAAGGGACCTTTAAGATCATCTAGCCCAACCATCAACCTAACTCTGATAAAAAAAAACTATCACTAAACCATGTCTCTAACCACCATGTCAGCCCGTCTTTTAAATACCCCCAGGAATGGTGCCTCAACCACTGCCCTGGGCAGCCCATTCCCATGTTTAATAACCCTTCCCATGTAAAAATTGTTCCTAATATCCAATCTGAACTTCCCCTGGCGCAACTTGAGGCCGTTTCCTCTTGTCCCATCACCTGTGACTTGGGAGAAGAGACCAACCTCCACCTCTCTACACCCTCCTTTCAGGGAGATGTAGAGGGCGAGAAGGTCTCCTCTCAGCCTCCTCTTCTCCAGGCTAAACGACTCCAACTCCCTCAGCCTCTCCTCATAACACTTGTTCTCCAGACCCCTCACCAGCTCCGTTGCCCTTCTCTGGACCTGCTCCAGCAGCTCAGTGTCTTTCCTGTCATGAGGGGCTCAAAACTGAACACAGCACTTGAGGTGGGGCCTCATCAGTGCCCAGTACAGGGGGACAATCACCTCCTAAATCCTACTTACCACGCTGTTCCTGATACAGGCCAGGATGGTGGCCTAACCCGCTGTTGGCTTTAACCTAACCTTTTTCACCTAGCAGTGTCACCCCCAGCAGCAATATCAGCTAACATCAGCCAGATAAGAACGACATTTTTTTCCTTGGCATTTGCCAGAGATATACGGTGCACATTTAGCTTGTACTCTTGAAATTGCTGTGTTGTTGTAAACTTACTAGCTACTGATGAGACGTGTGTGTGTGGGCAGCAGGAGCTTTCATAGGTTCAGAAAGTCACAAGCTCCCTGGAATTTGTTCATTTGCTTTTTAGCATCCTAAGAAAAGTAGATGATAGAAATTTACCCTCCCTGGATTTTAGTTTTATTAACCAGGTCCTGGAATAGTAAGTAAAATGAATAGATTTAAAAGGGGGCATGTTAGATGGTAGGGGCTTTTGGCTTGCAAAGTGCAATTAGAAGTGGTTTATTTTGAAAGCTTAAAAAAATAGAAAAGCATTTTACACGAAAGCCATTCTGAAAGCAGGTAAAACCTGTACTTTGTGTGACAATTATTGTCTTATC